CTACCTCTATAGATCAAGTTGATTATCCCATATCGTTTATGAATAAATCCTTTAACAACCATTATTTCAACGATTGAAATATAGGGATATCATTTTCTATAATATTAGGAACACGACAATACTCCCACTATCTTCTTGTAAATACACAATTCGTCTTCAAATTTGATAAAATCAAACGCTTTGACTTTTTTCATCAAATCGAAGATTTCAGCTCCATAGAGACTTATCTTACCCTTTAGTTACGATATGCAACTGTTGCAAATAAAATCCGAATGGACTTCAACAAGGTCACAGGAAAAAAGTTTCACCAAGGTCAATACTTAACCTTTACTTCTAGCCTTACTTTGTATATATGGATATCCACTTCCATATCGACATTTCCTTTGTAAACTATTTACAAAACCTTATGGGTTTTATTATATCAGGAGGCTTAACCAAGGTCTAAACCTTGTTCACATACGCCGAGTTCATCTCGAGTATCATGGCCTCATGCTGTCTCTTTTAACTCAACACTTGACTTTATTTCGTTGCAACTAGCAGGTTCATTGTCCTGGATCACTAATACCTGATTAATGATCATGAATTCGCACCTTCTTTAATGTCGAATGATCCTACTAGATTCACATAGAGCTGTCATGTCCTCAGGAGTCTTTACTTCCTGATCCAAAGTATGTCACATATCAGATATGAGATCAAACTCGGATTTATCTACTTGATTAACTATATCTGTGGACTCTTGAACTCTTTCAAATTCTTTTTTACTCCCACTGTCCTCTCCCAGAGCAAACATTTTCTCTAAGAAGATGAGATGTCGTGAGACAAAAATTTTCTTCATGATAATAGAATTAATATTCAAACGTCTGCTTTGAATATCCCCACAAATACGTATTTATCGGAATTAGTCTCAAACTTATCCGATTTAAAGCGCTTCAAATAAACGTCATGGTCGCAAGCTTTCATATAAGATAAAAGGGGACTATTGCCTTTCCATAACTCGTATGGAGTTCTGTTAACCAAGTTAGATGGGACATGGCTTAGTGTGTTTGCACACTGCAATTAATGCATGACCTAAAACAATTTTGGGAGATTTACATGGCTTGTTATTAATCACAATATATCTAATAATTAACGATTCCTCCTTTTAGATACACCACTATGCTGCAGTGTATATGGAGGAGTCCACTGCAAGAGAATCTCATTCTCTCTTAGATAATCTAAATTTCATCTTTAAAATACTCTCACTTGATCGAATCTTAATGTGAGGGTATCTTTACCTATTTGTTTCTCTACTTCTAGTTTGAATCCCTTGAACTTTTCAAGAGTTTCATGTTTGAGTTTTCATCAAATATCCATGATCATTGATGAAATAAGAGAAACATTACCTGACATTGATTGACATGAATCCATGTGCATCGCTATGCATTAGACTAGTAATTATGCTGACCTTTCTTCTTTTCAAATAAAAGAAGATTTGGTCAATGTGCCAGACATGCATAATCAATTAATTCCAAGTATACATCTTTATGTAATTTTGAAATTACATTTCATCTAAATGACAAAGTCTGTCATACCAGATTTTTGTAATAATTAGATTATAGTATTTATGCTTTATAATTTCTATTATCATTATAGAATCCTTAGTATTAAAGAATACAAACGTCATTTTGTAATTTACTATAACCATTGGGATCTTTATCAAGATAAACAAGAACAATAATTGTCATTAACATTAAAATTGTTCATGTCCGAACATGAAATTCATTTTAATGTTTCAGCTATGGTGAGTATAAAGCGACATTTCTCTAATTCTAATACTAAAATCGAAAGGCAATGGCAAAAAGTATATTCATACAGGCAATGCAGCAACCTTTGATCATCTCTAACGTGTATGTCAACTTCTCCCTTTCGCAGTGGTTTACTTCTATTTAGTTTTTCCATATTTGTATAAATACGATATTTACACCTAGTATCATATACCTAAGAAACTCGTGAAGTAGACGTAAGCCATACAATATTCCTTCCAATGACCTTTCATTCTATAATGAAATCAAGGGTATTTAGATTTGGTATTGTCCTTGAATTAGACTGTCTTAACCATATTGGATGCTTTCATAAAGCCCCTTTAGACTTCCCCTTAATATCTTTAGAGGAATCAATGGTTTGCCCACTACCAACTTTGATAAAGGGCTTAACAGTCATAAGTATGTTAAGCAACTCAATAATTTTGCATTCGAGTTTATTCATGTTAAATTCATAATTAGTTGTGAATAGCTTTAGCTGATAGAGATTGCAGAACCAAGTCACTACTTAGTTCATTATTTATGATTGAACACAGTTGAGACATTTCTCAACGTCAATCATCTTCAGTGTCTAAGCATCGATTGAAGATTACTCTGTCATTTTGCACCGGTATAGTTGTTTGGAAGTCTCATATCCTTCCACACATGATTATCATCATACAACTCTTAGTAATGAAGAATTATGTGTCAACATCTATACTCTTAAGTCGCTTTTGTAACTCAGTGACATAGTTGCAAGTATCACATACGTTGCAGTACTATTATCATCACTGCGTTTACTATAGTAGCCACCTCTTCTTTAATCGAGTCATCACCAAGTGTCTCTGGAAAGGGTTACTCAAGGACGTGACCAAATTTCTCTTGCATAAGAACAATTTTCAAATTGCAATATCAATTAAGAAAATATAGTTTGGTTGTTGGCATCCAGTATGCCATTCAAAACATATGGTTACTCAGATTCAATAAATATAAATGACATAAAGGAAAGAGTAATATATAAAATGCATCAATTAATTTAATATGGTCTTTTATTAAATTAATTATGCTCCCACTGTTTAAATAAAATTTATGACCCTCTTACATAAATTTATGGAGTCCATGCTTGACTCCCAGTGGGCTGGGATCCAATCTATTATATTAAGACTTTGAGTGTACTCAACAAACCCTAATATAATATTTGGGTAGATACTATTATCAATTGTATCTCCATACAACTCCCAGATCATTAAACTGACAACTCTTTATTTTCACACATCTTATGTGTTAGCTTAACATGCCTCTAAAATTCATCTCCTTGAATGTACTCAACAAAAAATAAATTTTAGTTAAGTCAAACCCATCATTCAGAAATATCAAATATTTCATAATGTGAAACATATCCCTAATGGACCAGCTTTAAGTGTACTCAACAAGTTAAGACGATTTGAGACTCTAATTTTCACTATAATGATGGAAGGCGATTACAAATATGACTTAATATTTTATGGAGGGATTTTGTATTCATGAGTCTCATCAACAACAATACAATCATATATATATTATTATTATTAAACATCTACTATGCAAATAAATATATATATAACATAATATAATAGTGTGGACGATAATAGACTTTTACTATCTAGTCTTCCCAAACCATAAGGAAAACTAGTTGGTCAATTCCTAGGGGGTATAGCATTGAACAATGTCAATGCACCATCTCCATGGTCTCCACCTCTTCTTATATCTTCAATTAGTCCAATTCCAACATGTATCCTATACTAGTTGGCACGCAGACCTAAATGAAATTGGACTCGCAGGCCCATATAACAATAATAATAATGGACTCGCAGGTCCAAAATAATAACAATAATAACGGGCTCACAGGCCCAAAACAATTAAGAGCTCGCAGGCCCATAAAACGATAAAATTAAAAATTAACCATTCAACACATCCATATGGTCGAGTCCATAATCGTCCACTAATAATACATTCATCAAATAAATGTATACCTATATAATATCTAATATTATATGCAAATAACTTTCAAATTTCTAGCAATTAAGTCGTATAAACTCCTTTAGACAAATGGATCGGAATAATTAAATAATTAATTAATCATATTAATCGATTATTTAATTAGCGGGAATATTAAAATCAAATTTTAATTAAATAACAAATTAGAGTCCAACTCTAATTCAACAATTATATGGCCGGATTATTTAATTAAAATCAAATCTTAATTAAATATCAAATTAGAGTCAAACTCTAATTTCGAAATGTAAGGCGGTTGAATTTAATTAAAATCAAATTTTAATTAAATGACAAAACTAGAGTCTAACTCTAATTCCAATATTTAAGGGCGAATGAATTTAATTAAAAACAAATTTTAATTAAATGGTAAAGCTAGAGTCTAAACTCTAAATCTAAGATTTTTAGGGCCAATTCGTTTAATTAAAATCAAATTTTAATCAAACACCATGTTAAAGTCTAACTCTAATCTAAAGAAAAGTTTAGGGCGAAACAATTTAATTAAAATCAAATTTTAATTAAATGTCAAATTAGAAATCCAATTCTAATTTCTAAAATATCTTCGGGTGAAAATTTAATTAAAACGAATTTTAACTAAGTCCTAAATTAGAGTCCAACTCTAATTTAAAATTGAATCTATATTTTAAATTAGGATAACACTCCTAAATAAAATTCAACTGGGGTCAAAGTTTAATATTTAAATTAAAATTCAATTTTAACGAAAATATTAAAAAGTCATCAATGTTTAAATAAAATTTTAATTTTGGTCAAAATTAAAATTATGGGTCAAACCCATTTAAAATACAATTTTAAAACTAATTCAAAATTCAAATTCAAAACCATTTGGAAATTGAAATTTGACCCAAGTCAAAATTTATAATCAAAACCTCACAATTTCGAAAATTTCAAAAATAGGTCCTTATTTAAAATTGCAAAACCACCCCATATTCTTTATTGCGGGCGGCCCCTCCAAATTTCTAAAATTACGGAGCAGCCCTTAATTTAAAATTGCAAAACCACCCATATTCTTTAATTGCAAGCAGCCCCCTAAAATTTCATAAATTGCAGATGAAGCCCCCGTCTCCAACACACACGTTTCTTGCATCTCTGCCAATTTCAGAAGAAAAGCCATAAAATCCAACTGAAAACCCTAATTAAATTTCACCCATTCGAAGCCCTAGAATTGGAAGCATGAGCGCCGCCCCTCGAAGGCAAGTACAAGCAGCAGCTCGCTGCTGCATAAGCGGCAGCAACAATATGCAGCGTTCGACAGTAGCGATATGCTACGTTGTGCGTCAGTTGCCCCTGCAAGCGAGCACCGTGCTCGCATGCTGCAGCGTATGCGCTGCCGCCTCACGCAGTCGACGGCGATTTCAGCCGCCGGTCGCTGCCACTGTAACCTTTGATTCAGATCCAATTTTCCCTTTGAATTTTTTTTTTTTTGGAAATCAAATTTCAATACAAAAAAAAAAATTGAGAGTTATTAATTGCTAGAAACGAGAAAAATAATCACAATCAATGTTTGACTATTCAATCACACAAATCAACTTCTAACAAACATAAAGGAGGCTCTGATACCATTGTTGGGAATTTACTTATACATGCACAGCGGAATTTAAAATAATTTTCGATTCCCACCAAGAATCGCCTTTGTGTTTGGATAGAAATTGTGATAAGGATTGTACCTTTGAAGAATTCTGCAATCCTTTTACTTTTCTTTTCGTTCCATCAACCTTGATTCGTCACCACAGCTGTCCAATTGTCCAGCCTCCAACGATAATCCACACAGAGAATAAGATTGCAACTTCTAGGGTTTTCACTTGTGCTAGCAAGAATAATGAAAAC